AAATAAAAATTATTAAATTAAAAAAATAATATATATATTTACTTTATTTTTTTTTTCTTAAAAATAAAAAGGTTTGAGGGGTGAAAAAATATTTTTTCAAATAATAAGTGAGAGTACCATCTGCCTGAGTCTCAAAGCCTCGAACATTGAACCAATTAAACCTGGTTCATGTATCTACTCCAATTAATAATTATGGTTGTCCGGGGTAGAACTTGAGGTTGCAACCCATTTTCATAATAATAAAAAAATTCAAAAGGATAATTTTCTGGTGATCATTGATTGTGCCTATTAATTCCACTGCCTTAAAGATCAAAAGAAGACAAAACCTTAGTTTCAAAAAACAGACAAAACCTTAGTTTCAAAAAACAGACAAAACCTTAAATGGCAGGATTATTAGTAAATATCAAAGACTAGGATTATTTCAATTTTCTATGTATACATTATTTCATATCCACTCCTCTTTCCCAGTCTTGAGTTTGTGCAGAAAAAATTTGCAGTTTTGTGCCTTGCTTCTCTTCTGTCTTCACTCTTTGGCTGCGTCATTATCTCTGAATCCTGTTGCACGTGTAGCCAACACTCTGTTAAACCTACCGGTTTCCTCCTAAAAATGGACCAGTCATTTTTATCTGCGTCTTCCCTAAAAAGGTCAGTCTTTTTTTCCATATCTTCTCTCTCTCACATCCGTTACAAACACAGTAGAAGCCACTGAATTTTGTGCGAAGTTTGTGTTGTGGGGTCCATGCATCCCACCAGCACCACCTCCCTTGAAATTGTCCTACTGTGCTCTCACCTAAACTCCCCACCAGTACCAACACCACCTGACCTCTCTTTCTTTGAATTTCCCTCCGTGGAGGAAACCAAAAACCAATCACATTGGGCATTGTTTGCTGCAAATTTGGTTTTTTTAATGGCTTTGAAGTGTGCCTCCATCTGGGTTTGTGCTAAAGTACCTCACTTTCATCTTGGGGTGCCAAATTTGGAGGCTAGGCGATATGGGGTTGCTTCAGAGTTGAAGCTTCCCAAGTGGGAATTTTGTTGTTCGGCTGTTGTGGCAGAGCAACCTATCACTTCTCTTGATGATGAGAAGCTGTACGGTGCTGGACTTGCGTCTTCTCATTCTTTTAGTCGGACCCTGGAAATTAAGTCCATGGTGTTGCAGAAGGACTTTAGTCTTCTTCCTAGTGAGTTGAAGTTCTTTGAATTAATGCATTCTCATTGATTGAACTGCTGGATTGATTCTGGCTTACGATTCAGTGTTTACGGCCTGACAAAGATAAAAGACTTTTCATTACTTTTTAGTTTTTATGTGACAACCACATTTAGCTTTTCTTCTTATCTTGTTTGTTATGTCATGCAACAGTCTATCATGAAAGAGGTTGTTCCTTAGAGAGCCTAATTTGTATCTGCAATGAGTTATGGCCGAGCATTTTGGCATGCATTGTGATGGAGGTTTTGTTTGAAATGTAAAGATTTCATTTAGATGGTCAATTATACTCAATTTAGTTTTTGAATGATCCCAGGACGTGTAGGTTGGAGAGATTTAAAGATTGTGTTTTCCTCTTGGTTGGTAACTGGTAAGCAGTATTATGGAGTCTTAGAGATGTCATGGAATTATTAATGTAGCTATAAAACAATAAGGACCTGTCAATTGATGGTTAATATTGATTTTCTGGTTGGTCATGATGCTTATGATCCTTAATTCATGCTTTGAAGCTCAAGAGAGCCGAATATGTGCCATGTGAGATTCTTTGAAGGCAAAGGCATTTTTTATCCTTTTGCAGTGTTTTTTATTCTACATACCAAGTCAAGCATTACAGAAGATATTCTGTTTTGGGGGTTTAGAGTTTCACATAATTCCAATCCAATACGATGGCTGTTGTGTGCATTAATTCGAGGTATTCTAGGTTCGGAGACATTTCCACGTGTGTGTCTGTGTATACGTGAGGAGTAGGGATCATGATAATCTTGTAGCCACTCATTGTTTGGATACTGAATTGATTAGTCAGATCATTATGTTCATCCAGGTAGAGCGGTTTTCTTGGAGTTAGGAATCTTGTACTTAATTCCAATCCAATGGGATGGCATTCTTGTGCGTTAATTTGAAGCATTCTAGGTTCAGAGAGCTGTCCACATGGACGTATTTTGCATGTGTATCGATAAAAGAATTGCTACATGATATAAAGCAGCATCAAGTAATGGTTGTAGCCACTGAGTGTTTGGCTATTGAATTATTTAGTCAGACCATTATGTTTATCCTGTTAGATCATGGTATTGGTCTGAATTCATTAATTTTGTCGTTTGGTGTGAATATTCGATCCATATTTGTAAGCCATATGCTTTAGAGATACATGGAAGGTATTAAGCGGGAGAATCCATAAATAATCAGTAAATGATCTAATGTATTCCATACATACTTTTGTCATGATTTATTGTCAAGTGTCCAGCAGTTATTCATTTTTAGAATTAGGCATCCTATTCCGTTTTCCCTTTTTCTCTATCCATGCAACCATATTTGATTTCTTAATGGTAGTTACTTACCATTCCCAAGTTTTTCTTTCATTTTTGTTGGTGCAAATGCAATTATATGGCTTAAACATAAAACAATTTGCAGAACCCCTGTCTGCGAATGATCTACTTCCTTCTCCTGATGATGGGACAAGAGTTCGGGTTGCTTATCAGGTATCATATTCCTCCATCCTTTTTTGTAACATTCATATGTTTCATGATTTTCTTATGTTGTTTTTTTTTTTTACATTATAGGGGATAGCAGGGGCATATAGTGAGGCTGCTGCATTGAAAGTATACCCTGACTGTGAAACTGTTCCATGTGATCAATTTGAATCTACATTTAAGGTTCAGATATTGTTGAGTAGTTTAATGTTAATAAAGTGATCTTGTATAGGAGTGTTTGATTTATACTGCTGCATTTTGTTCTCAGGCAGTTGAACTTTGGTTGGTGGATAAAGCAGTTCTCCCTATCGAGAATTCTCTAGGTGGTAGCATTCACCGTAATTATGACTTACTTCTTAGGCACAAGCTGCACATAGTTAGGGAGGTCCAGATGGCTGTAAATCACTGCCTTTTAGGGTTGCCTGGTGTCAGAAAGGATGAACTGAAACGTGTTTTGAGCCATCCCCAGGTTAGTCTCACTCATTTTGGTTTATTTTTCTAGTATGTTCAAGAGGTCCCATGGTGTTTTGGCATTGTTATTTGCTTTGTTTGATGAGCAATTTTTGATGTATGTGAGACCATATACGGCAGGCACTTACATCAGAATTGTGCATTCAAATCTTTGAAGCTTAGAGTGACCAAATAATATACTTCTTTTGCAGGCGCTGGCCCAATGTGAGATGACTCTAGGCAAGTTAGGTCTGGTTAGGGTCAATGCTGATGATACTGCTGGTGCTGCTCAGGTAAATAGGAGATCCTTTATGATCTATTTTAGCATCCTCTTACTTATTTTTTGCATATTTTTTCAGAAAACTAAAATATCAAAATGCTTGGAACAGATGGTTGCTGTAAGTGGCAAAAGAGATACTGGAGCAATAGCAAGTTCTCGAGCTGCAGAAATATATGGACTTGACATTCTGGCTGAAAAAATCCAGGTGGAACCTTCAATTTCCTGTAATTTATTGATTTAGCACATGAACTTCTTAAAGAAAAGTTGTATAAAAACTCATTAATACACCCTATTTAGTTAAAATAATTTGACCCATAACTAGCCTTCCATTGCAGCCCAAAAAGAAAAAAAAAACCTTCCATTTATATATATATATATATATGCAAACTCTAGTGTTTCGTATTTTATTAAATTCAAAGTGGTTTGAAGTCATTTTGACCCTTTTTTTCTTTTTTTGGTTTGTCATGATTTATGATGAATATTATGTGGTTTGATTTCCTTTCTTAACACCATCAGGATTGCAATGAGAATATTACCCGTTTCCTAATACTTGCAAGAGAACCCATAATTCCAGGAATCAATGGGCACTACAAGGTATAATTTCTCAAACTTTTTGTTGGAGTTTCTTTTTCTTCAAAAAAGGAACTTGTTTTAGGTATTATTGGCAGACTTCCATATAATTCTCATATGGTTATGTTGATTCCCAGACAAGCATTGTCTTTGCTCTTGAAGAAGGTCCTGGCGTGCTGTTCAAAGCCTTGGCAGTCTTTGCAATGAGGGATATCAGTTTATCAAAGGTAAATTTGGGAAAGCATTTAGCCTTGTGTTAATGAACAATGATTTTATGCAATCTTATGATTATCTCTCCTGGAGCAATTTACAGATAGAGAGTCGCCCACAACAAAACCGTCTTCTAAGAATTGTGGATGATTCTAACAAAGGAAATCCCAAGTAAGTGTTGTGTCTATTCAGACTAACAATAGCATACAGGATATAGAGCTATTCATAGTCCATAGTCATGATAAGTGGAAGACTCTGTAGATGCAATTTATTGAAATGAATAGACCATATCATCCGAAAATGGAAGATAAGCAAATAACCATGATATTCCTACTAAAAACATGCAGGGCCCCTGCTACTATTCTATGCTCTTATCATCTTGCTGTTGATTTGAATGAGCATTTACTAGCTTTTCCTGAGAATTAACTTGCAGAGTCTAGGAAGAGAATATGCCAAATCTAGGAATTTAGTCTGCTGCAAAATTATCTCCATTTTATAATTGATTTGATTTCCAGTGGCAGGAACTTTGACTACCTTTTTTATATTGATTTTGAGGCCTCAATGGCAGAGCCCCGTGCTCAATATGCATTGGGACATTTGCAGGTTTGCCCTTTACCCTATGATTAATGCTTTTAACATATAATGATTGAAATTTTCATTCTCAAAAATAGTCACCTAAGTGTGCTTCTGTTTGCTTCACCATATATGTAAAATTTGAATAAAATTCATTCTGGTTTGTCATGCATGATTAACTATATTAGCTTACCTGTTCCATTCTGTAAAGAAATGGTTTTTAATCTAGTTGTTGATTTTCACTTAATAGATGTAAACAAATTGTGTGGTTATGTTCTTTGCCAGGAATTCTCAACATTTCTCCGCATTCTGGGTTGCTACCCCATAGATACAGGTATATAGATGGATACCCTCATGGAGTTCATCTTCCCATCTTTTATTTGATCTGTGAAGCCTGCAAGGTGGAGAGCTGTTAAAACATCAAGTAGTGTACAGAGCCCTCATCCAGCTGAAGGTGAAAAATAATTTTCCTGGGAAATGCTGAAAGCTTTCTGGGTTTAGTCTGCAATCTTCTTTAGTATGTATGATCTTCCCTCTTTTTGTTTTTCCATACCTCCCAATGGGGGTATACCTATCTTTGAGGCCATCGCCTGTGTTTATGTAGCAGTTTACATTTCAAGAATAAACATTTGGAAGTTTCTGGTTTTATCTGGTTGGAAGCCAGTCTTCCTCCCCGCATAAATATATTCACAAAAAAAAAAAAGTGTTGTTTTAGGTCTAACTGCACTTTTATTAAAATGCACTTTAAAGTGCAGTTTAATCACTAAAATTATTAAAATGCCTGTAATATGTTCATTAATGATTAGTAATTTATTATTTCAGTGTTCAGATTGTACTTCTGAAAAACACGAAACTCATGTATTTAACTTGATTGGGAAATTTGCTTGGAAATGTAACAGAGTCCAACAAAACAGAATTCTAGAGAGTTTTCAAGTCATACAATAACGAACACAATTAAACAGGCAAGATTGCTCAATTGCATTCTAGAGACTAATTTATTCTGGAGTTTTACGCTTTTGGCCGCGGGATACAGAAGCAGAACCCTTCTTTTTAAGTGGTTCCTCTGGTTTGTACAGCTCCCTTAGGAAGTCCTCATTGTCAACCAAGACCTGCAATTTCCGAACAGAAGAAAACTAGTATCATAATTAATGAGCTTCTTGACATGGATAGTTTTTATTATGGTAAAAATGGGCTTGCAAATGGTATAACGTTGTAAATTCTAGTAAAAGAACGTACAGTTTTCCAACCATCAGGATCTAGGAAAGAGGTAATTTTGGTGTTGATTCCAGGAATGGGTCCTGGTGCTCTTGTTATCTTCCCTCCAAGCTCCTTGGTAACAAGATCGACAACCTCAGCACTCTTGTAGACATCATCAGTGCTAATAGCAACCTAGAATTTGGATAGAATAATCATCAAGAAGTGCAAAGGATGCATGTTTTGTAGAACCATCCACCACAGCTTCCTATACCAAGGATATAGCACACAAATAAGGTGGGTGAGTGAAGAATCAAACTCACCTGTGCATATCCATTTCCTTTGGTGTACTCGGTCACACCATAGTTATAAGTCAACACAACTACAGTTTCATGTTCCTCCCCATATCCTAACATGGCTATGGTGTACTGTAAACATCAAGCAACAAACATTAGAAAATCCAGTGGCCATTTCCTAGGGCTAAATAGAATGAAATAAGCTTGTATATGAACAAGGCATCTGCATACATACCTGGTATTCAGGTCTATCCACCGTCCTCACCACCCTCATCCCCAAGGCCTGTAAAGAAGTAATAATAAAAACATTCATTATCCCTCATTTCCTTCATTTCTTATAGAGGGAAAACCGAACAGCAGACTATCTGACATTGATGAATCACTAGGGTGGGACCATTGAAGAGTACCTTCTCATAGAACTTGATAGAACGCTCGAGATCACCAACGCGAAGCATTACTTGGCAGAGAGGGTCAGTAGTTTGCTCTCTTTGGATGAGCTCGAAACGGTAACCATCAGGATCTGTCACAAAGGCAATGACAAGTGATCCACCTTTGACCGGACCAGGTTCCCTACTGATGGTGCCACCCTTGGCACGAATGTCTTCAACCATTTTGTACACCTAACACCCCATCAAATAGCACCATGTAGTTAATTATTTTCACAACTAATTAAAGACACTAATTTGCTTAAGAGTAGTATGGCAAACTTACATCTGGTGTTGCAATTGCAAAATGCCCAAAGCCAGTTCCAATATCATATGAAGTTACTCCATAATCTGTAAAGAACAAAATTAAACCAGGTAACTTGCATCATAAGTAGATTTCAAGAAAAGTAGAAACCAGCTCTCATCACATTCAGCTGAAACATACTGTAAGTTAGCTCCAAGACGAAATTAGATTCCTCTGGTCCAAATCCAAGAAAGGCATTTGAGTACTTCTCCTCTGGAATATCTCTTTTCCTCAACAGCTTCATCCCGAAACACTCAGTGTAAAACCTGAAAAGCACAATCCAATACAGATTAATCATCTTAAGCAAATTTTTCCACACATCAGAAAATTAAGAACGTACTTATTAAGTTATTATTAACCCATTCAGCATCGATACAAGAATTCTATCTCAGTGCCCCAAAAACACATACTTGATGGTGCGTTCAAGATCGCCGACTCGAAACACGGCGTGAAGAAACCGGCGCCTGTCCTTCTTCTTCGGCCATTCCAACACCTCAACGTTAGCAGCCTCAGCCATGAGTGAACGAGAGTCAATATATTACTGCATACACAAAATCACCGATAGAGTTAGTATCCAAAAATACAGATTCAATTCAATGAAAATCTGAGAAGTTGAACCCTGAGAGCTCACCGGAGACGGTGACAGTGAAGAGAGACGAAATGTCATGTGAGGATGGCTCGGGAGTAGCAGATTTATAATATTTTTTCTCCAAAAACTCCGACTAAAGTGACTAGCTGTCACGTTAGTTTTTATTGACAGATAGCCAGAGATCTAATATGAACGAATTAAGTTTGCCATTTTTCTTCCGTAGCGAGCTTGGCATTGTCACACTAGCATTTCGGATTAAAGTAAATGTTTTGACTTACGGTTCAAACAAAGTCTGTAAGTCAAAACTTCAGAAAGGGATAGGTCATCGGTACCACGTTTCTTTGTTTGAGTTTTTTATTTTATAATTTACGTATTTTATTTTAAGTTTTTGTTTTATTATGGCAAAAATATGACATAAGGACCCGAACTTACACCAAATTCGCAATTTCGGACCCAAACTTTGATTGCGCTCAATGAAGGTCCCGAACTCCACCAAATTCTCAAATAAGGACCCAA